ACGGAGCTCTCTGAAGTGATGTGGGGTGGGGGCCAGTGAGAGAGGGACTCAGGAGACCAGGGTTCGAGTCCCAGCTCCAGTCTGTTGGGTGACCCTGGCCATAAACTTGGGTTATCAGTAAATGTTGGTAACCGTTGCGTTCGCTGGACACACACAAGCTGACAAATAAAAGATTGATTTGTACAGATGGGCAGAGAAAGAAAACACTGCTGGAGAACGTATTAGTGTTTGATCTAAGGAGTTCCCTTTGTATACCTTGACAGATGATGTGCCAAGGGGTCTGTATTGACCCCCAGAGGTCAGGGTGTTGCTGGGACGGCTCCTTAAAGAAGCAGCACCTTGGAGATGATCATCTGTCTCTAAGCAGGCTGGGGGCCTGGGGCATCTGTGGCTGGGAACCTGCTCCTCAGCTTCCCAGAGATGGTGCTGACAGAGCAGAGGTCTGGGAGGTTGGCGGTGTACGGCGCCCCTTTGCTGCAGCAATCTCCAGTCTGCCATGGGGTGGGGATAGGGTGACCAGGTGTCCGGTTTTTGACTGGAACATCCAGTCGAAAAGGGACTCTGGCGGCTCCGGTCAGCACCGCCAACTGGGCCATTAAAAGTCCGGTTGGCAGTGCTCAAGCAGGCTAGTCCCTACCTGTCCTGGCACCGCGCTGCACCCCGGAAGCAGCCAGCAGGTCCGGCTCCTAGGCGGGGGTGGGGCCCCCCGAGGGCTCTGTGCGCTGCCCCTGCCCCAAGCACCGGCTCCACCTGCCAATGGGAGATAGGGGGGCGGTGCCTGAGGGTGAGAGCGGAGGGTGGAGCCTCCTGCCCCTTCCCACACCCCCACCTAGGACCCAGACCTGGTGGCTACTTCTGGGACATGCACAGCGCGGTGCCAGGACAGGGAGGCAGCCTGCCTTAGACCCGCTGCACCTCTGACCAGGAGCTGCTCGAGGTCAGCCCACGCCCCAACCCCCAGCCCTCAGCCCCCTGCTCCCCAAACTACCCATCCCCGGCCCCAGCTCTCACCCCCAGCCCAGAGCCCTCACCCCCCCTGCACTCCAACCCCCTGGCCCAGCCCAGGGCCCCTTCCCACACGCTGAACCCCTCATCCCAGCCCCACCCCAGAGCCCTCAGCCCCTTCTGCACCCCAACTCCCTGCCCCATCCCGGAGCCCACACCTCCAGCCGGAGCCCTCACCCCCTCCCGCACTCCAACATCCTGCCCTAGCCCAGTGAAAGTTAGTGAGGGTGGGGGAGAGCGAGCCACCGAGGGAGGGGGAATGTAGTGAGCGGGGCAGGGCCTGTGGAAGGGGCGAGGGCTCATGGAGGGGCGGGGCTAGGGTGTTCCGATTTGTATGACTAGAAAGTTGGCAACCCTAGGTGGGGAAGGGACGTCGCGGAAGCCACAGGCTGCTGCTAAAAAGCCATGGCGCTGGTCAGGGCAAGAGGGCTGACAGGGAAGGGAAGGGCAGCTCCATGCCATGCTCCGTGCCCTACGGAGCTGCCTGCAGATTCTCACATGATGGCTGCAGGGACTGGGGGAGGAACGGAGAGCCTGCTGCCAGACAACACCTGTAGCTGCCTGAGTCCTGCCGGCCTGGCCCGTTTCCCTGCCTCATGCCCCACCAGCGTGGGGAAGACAGTGGGTGAGGGGTGGTGTCCTGGGCCTTCCCCTCCGGCACCCGAGGGGCTCTGGGAAGTCTCTGCTCTCTCATGGGGGATCAGCCCTTACTAGCAGGGTCAATACGGCAACCCTCAAGCTTCCCTTTGGGCCTGGGCTAGCAGCTGCGACCCGTACTGTGTCCCGGGGGAGCAGCCCGGAGCAAGGCCCATCCCGCTAATGCCTGGCCTTGTCCCCGCAGAGCGCTGCAGTTCGGCGGCCTGGGCGGCCCCCCCCACGTGAAGCTGGTGGTGGAATGGGATCCGAACACCAAAGAACGGTGAGTCCTCAGCGCCGCGGAGCCTGTCCCTGGCAGCGGGTCTGTCTCAGTGCCGCGGGCTGGGATCAGAGACTCAGAGTCAACACAGCTGGAAGAAAACGTCTCGATTCCCCTTACGTTTCTCATCAGTGTTTGGTCCGTAGCCATCTGGTGGCCTCAGGCCTTACTCCTGTGCCCACCCCCTGGCCAAGGACCTGGTCTCTGTATTTCACCCAACAGAACCAGAACCAACTCATTGGGCTCTTAAGTGTCTTATTTATTAACGGTCCAACCTCAGAATCCCCCCCCATGGAAGGGCAGAGTAAAGTCTGAGTGGGACCGTCCCCATCGTCCCGCTGGGAATTCTGCCCGAGTGAGGACATCAGGATCTGGCCTGCTAAGAATCACTTGCCCTTGTCTCTCCCATTGGACAGCAGGGTTAGCGGTGAGCAGTTTGCACAGGACAGTGAGGGTCCATGCACTCTGCGTTTAACAGCAGCGGAGCACCTTCAATGGAGCGATGCTGGATTTGCACCGAAGAGCGTGGAATAGCTGGCTCTGGGCTGGCACTTCATCCTGATAGACGGCTGAGTGCCCAGCAACGCCCAGGACACCAATGGGGTTGCCGGTGCTCAGCACGTGTGAAGATCCAGCCACTTGGTTAGGTGCTGAAATACAGAGTTTGAGCCAAGGTTTTCAAGCATGGGGAGTGATTTTGGGGGGGCCCAACTTGAGACACCTCAAAGGGGGCTGAGTTTCAGAGTCTGGGGGCTCAGTAGTGTCTGCAAATCAGGACCCTTTAAGGCATCTCAAGTTGGGGGCCCCAAGTCACTGGCACTCGTGAATATCTTAGCCTGGGCGCCTATCTTCAAGCCCCTGTACTGGACAGTATTGTCCACTAGGGAGAGAACTGCTCTGCCTTTACTAGAAGGCCACCTCTGCCAGGCAACCAACATGCCAATTCCTTAAACGGGTCTTACTGTAACTCAACCTGTGGAACTCACTGCCTCAGGATATGGAGGCAAATACCACAGGCTGGCTTGGGAAAGAGCAGGACAGTTGCTGTCTCCTGTCATGCTGCCCATGGATGGCACTGCCCAGATGCCATCACGTGGATACTGCCTCCCTCCAAGCTCCTGTCCCGCCTTTGCAGTCTGTTTGGCAGCATCCAGGAGGAGGTGGTGCAGGACACCGAGAGCGTCCGGCTGCAGCAGCAGGCCCATCAGCAGCAGCACAGCTGCACACTGGATGAGTGCTTCCAGCTCTACACCAAGGAGGAGCAGGTACGTGCCATGCAGGGCGGGGTCTGGTCGTGCACCCTGGGCCTGCTGTCGCCCTTTGTGCTGGGGCATCTGGGGCACTGGAGCTGGGGGGTAGGGACGGGTGCTGGGCTGATAGCAGAGCATCCCAGGGCATGGATCCAGCTGCCCAGCTGGGGCTGGCAGGAGAACAGGAACAAAGGGAAGGGAGAGCCCACCACACCCTGTGAGGGGAACCCCAGCCTTCCTCTCTGAGCCCAAGCCAGGGCAGGTAGGCACTGGGGACTGTGCTTCCCCCCCCGCCCAGACCCAGGTCGCAGGCCCCGCTGGACAAATCCTGCTGGAGGGATGCGCAGCAGCACCAGGTGCCCAGTGCCCTCCCCATGGGCATGGGGGGCATGGCCAGGCCAGTTGCTGGGGCCACGCTAACCCTAGCCTTGCCTGGGGCATGGTGTCTTGTTTCCCCAGCTGGCCCCCGACGATGCCTGGAGGTGCCCCCACTGCCAGGTGCTGCAGCAGGGCGTGGTGAAGCTGAGCCTGTGGACGCTGCCCGACATCCTCATCATCCACCTGAAGAGGTTCCGCCAGGTGGGCGAGCGCAGGACCAAGCTCTCCACCCTCGTCCGCTTTCCCCTCCGCGGCCTCAACATGGCGCCCCACGTGGCCAAGAGGAGCCAGGCCGGGACGCAGGCACTGGGCCCATGGGCGACATGGAAGCAGCTGCCGTACCTCCACGAGAGCTCCCAACTCGAGTCGCTCTACGACCTGTACGCCGTCTGCAACCACCATGGCAGCATGCAGGGTGGACACTACACCGGTGAGTGCACCAGGGCACCATACAGGGCAGGCACTACACCGGTGAGTGCACCAGGGCACAATGCGGGGCGGGCACTACACCAATGAGTGCACCAGGGCACCATACGGGACAGGAACTTCACTGGTGAATGCACCAGGGCACCGTGCGGGGTGGGCACTACATGAGTGAGTGCACCAGGGCGCTGTACGGACACTACAGGGTGAGTGCACTAGGGTGCTGTGCAGGGTGAGCACTGAGCCAATTAGTGCACATGGGTGCCGTGTGTGGCAGGCACTACATGGGTGAGTGCACCAGGGTGCCGTGTGGTGCGGGCACTTCACTGGTGAGTGAACCAGGGCGCCATGAAGGGCGGGCACTATGCCGGTGACTGCACCAGGGCACCATGCGGGGCAGGCACTACATGAGTGAGTGCACCAGGGCGTCGTGCGGGATGGACACTACACGGGTGAGTGCTCCAGGGCTCCATGCGGGTTGGACACAACACGGGTGAGTTGGTGCTAACCCCGAGTTGGTACTAACCAATGCCCCAGTCTGGTGCTAGGGGGCGCTGTGCAGCTGGAGACGCCTGGCTTTGAGCCGGGGAAGGACACTGGAAGTCCTGGCTGGCTGCGGTGATTGAACCTCTGGGGCGATGCTACCTGTGGAGGGCCTTGGAGCAGCTGGGCTGGCCCAGCCCTAGCTGGCGAATTGCCTTCTGCCTGCCTACCTCTCGCTGCGGTTTCAGTCCCAGGCCGGGCGGGGGCGGACCCCAGCCAGACGGGCCCCGCCAGCGATGCAGGCTGATGGGATTCCACCCTGGCGGGGCTGGACTGAACCCCAAGCCTGGCGCCCCTGGGGCCTCGTCTCCGCCCCTCGTGTCGGTTCATGAGCTCCCTTCCTAAGCACAGCTGTGCTCTCTGCCCCAGCCTACTGCAGGAACTCCCTGGACAGCCGCTGGTACAGCTACGACGACAGTGCTGTGGAGCCAGTTCTGGAGGACGAGGTCAGCACCCGGGGCGCCTACATCCTCTTCTACCAGCGAAGGAACATCATCCCCAGCTGGTCTGCCAGCAGCTCTGTGCAAGGTGGGCCTGCGCCCCTGCCGTCCGCACTCGCCCCCGGGGACGTGCTGCTGCGGGGAGCCCAGGCCTGGCCCACTCAGGGCCGGCTCTAGGCAAAAGGCAGGTGCCGCGTCTTGGCTCCCCGGGAGGAACGCCCTCGGCAGAGTTGTTCCAGGGTCTGCTTCGATGCGAGTGCTGGGGGGCCAGAGCCTGGCTCATCGCTGCCCATCCGCCCCTGGGAGAGGGTGTCTCCACGGGGAGCCGTCTGCGATTGCTTTCCTCTAGCTAGCATGGGTAACAATAGCGGCGGAGACCCGGCCGCATGGCCGTCAGCTCGGGACCGTGCATGCTGGTCATTAGCCGCTACCCATGCCCATGCGGCTGCGGCTGCACTGCTCTTGTTACCCGTGCCAGCCAGGTGAAAGCTGCCTTGGCTGTGGTTACACAGGCTGCATCAAACCCTCCTGTGCCCTGTCGAGTCCCCGGGAGGGTGGGTGGAAATCACAGCCGTTGGCACCGGCAGGCCAACCCATCCCTCGCGTTCGGCCTAGGGCTGTCTGTGACAAGTACATTGCTGAGTCTCCCCCATAGACTGACCCGTCAGAGGGGTCCCTGGGGCCCGTCCCCTCTGGGCTCCGCGGGGCCAGCACTGTGACACCGTTCTGGCTTTAACACGATCAGCCGGCAGCTGAATCCTGCTGAGCTGCTCCGGTGTGGAGTAGCCGGGGGGAGGGAAAGGACAATTCACACGGGCTGTTCGCTGAATGCTTTGGCTCTCTCGCACGCACACGCTCAATCACAAAGCACAAGGGCACACACATTGGCACAATCACATAGCATGTGGATGCATCTACACACAGTCACAAAGCACATGCGCACACATGTACCCACGCACAAAATCACAGCACATGCACACACATCTACACACACACAGTGACAAAGCCACCCACCTCCGTGCAAGCAGAGTACACACACTGATACAGGCACATGCATACTCACACAACCACAACGCACACGCACAGACACACATTCTCTCTCTCTCTCACACACACACACACACCCCTCCTGAGAGACATGCGCTCTGATTTGACAGAGGCTGTATTTGCTCTGAGATCCTTGCAAATTACTGGTCTGTTGTGGCATGGTAATTGTGCTGTCCTATTTGTGCTGCCACCCTGTGGCTGCTGCTTGTAACTGCACTTTATGGCACATACCCATTTTATGTATTATTATCAGCGGCCACTGAGCTTAGGTCCTTTGGTTTTGGGGAGCCCGAGAGGAGACCCCGGGGGCCTGAGCATCCACAGCTCCACTGGCCTCATTCGGAGCTGCAGAGGAAATGAAGCCCTCAGTGCCTCAGGCTGGGCTCCCAACGCCCCGGCCCATTTTGGAGATGTCGGCCGGGGTGAGAGCTAGCTGGCCGCCTGCCTCCCGGGATCGGGCACTGCGGGGGCTGCCACTGGCACCAAGGAACAAGGCTGGATCGGGTGGGCTGGCTTCCCACAAGACCCTGGTGGGACTCACTGCTTGGAGTATGGGTCAGGGCCGTGCTGCCCTGGCTCTGTGAGCCTAACAGGCCCTGGTCAGGGTCCCATTGGCCTCTGGGGCGGGGATGGGACCAACCCACCCTGACTCTGGCCGGGCCAGCAGTTATACAATGGCTATTGGGCGCCCTCTACTGACACTTGCTCCAAAATGCAACAAAACAAGCCACAGTGACACCTGGCTACCTAACCAGTGGCCTGGGCCTGTCCAGTGGCATCTCTGCATGCAGATCTCTCCTTCCCCAGCATCAGTACCCCCCCCCCAGATGGCTCCCTGGGGATCCCAGCATGAGGGGTGCATGGGGGCCCCACTCTGACCCAGAGGGGCCCAGGGAGGAAAGTTCAGGCAGCGGCTCACTAGCAAGGGAGGCCCCTGGGAGCTGCAGGCTGTAGCTGTGGACAGCTCCATCCCAGTGATTGCTCATTGCCGGGGCTGGAGCTGGCTGCTTTGTGCATTTTGGTGCCACCCCCCTTGCTATGCCCCCCAGTGCCCCATTGGGTCTATGCCCTGGTAATGCGCCTGTCTGGGTTCCCCCTGCAGGCTCCACCAGCTCCTCCGTGTCGGATCACTGGCTCTCGCGGCTCAGCGGGAGCAGCAAGAGGGAGAGCCTGGTGTCCCGGAGCTCCACGGCCTGCCCCTCCCTCCCGAAGGTCCCCGACTCGCCCGTCTTCCTCGACACCGCAACCAGCCAGGAGAAAGGTCTGTGGTATTGCTGTGCCTGACCCCGGAGCAGTGAACCCCGGTGCTCTGCCCTGCCAGTCGAGCCCCCCCCCAACCCCACCCCCCGCAGGGCTCCGTCGGGTCGCAGAGCAGGATTCGGCCCCAAGAGCTTTGCAGCGCGGGAGTCTGGGCTGTGCCGGGGGGAGCTAGGGCAATCGACTCGCTGGCACTGAGGAAGGGGGCGCCGTGCAGTGCTAGGTGGGGGGTGTCAGGCCGTGTCTGGAACGACAGGACATTGTGAGCCCAGGGGCCAGTTTGTTTCCCTCCAGGGGCTCTTTCCCCAGTAACTCCCTACACGGCCTGGCTGGGTCAGCTAGTCTCTGCTTGGCCTCACAGTCTGAGGGGTCTTCTGGAGGGGAGCCCAGCCCCGCGGCAGGGGAAGAGTGGCCCATTCACTGAGGGTGGCACAGAAGAAGGGGCAGTCGTGGAAGGAGCGAGCCAGCAGGGCAGCAAGGCTGGCGGTATGGGGCGGGGGAAGGGAATGGGCCAGAGGGATGGGGGGAGAGGCAGCACCCTGCGGGTGGCAAGGGGGGGGTCACAATCAGGTTCGCAGGGAGCTGGGTGGGGGCCAGGTGAACTTTCTGCTTTGGTCATTTCAGTGCCACCAGCCCCCAGGAATCACGGATCAGGCCCCAAAACACCCCAAGTGTGGGTTAAAAGGCAGGGGGATGGACCCAGGCCAAGCTGGCGGGCTCCATTGATTCACCCTCAAGGGGGCAGGAGTCTTGAGGGGCGCTGACTTCTAGCTTCCCCCACCCCCAAAGGCCGGAACCTGCGAGTCTCCCCTCATCCTGAGGCTTGGCCTCACTTAGCCGAGCCAGGAAGCTCGGAGCCAACGCGCTCTTGGCGCAAGCAGGGGTAACCTCGGCCGCGCTGTCCCCCGCCCGGCCCCCTGTGGGACTAGCTCCACGGCAAGCTGAAAACTGCCCCCCTGTGGCCTGCCCCACAAGCAGATGCCAGGGCTCTAGCCCCACCCATCAGCGCCTGTGCTCCCCT